AGCAAGAATACGTAGCAAGGAAGACTAAATTTTACGAGCTTGAAAGAAAGGGACCAATTCCAGTTACTAAGAAGCCCTGTAACTTTGCACAGAACTAACCCTACTAGCAAATTTAAAACAGAAGCTTCAAAATTAGAAGAAAAAGTAAAAAAACAAATTTGCAAACAACTACAAAGACTTGAACATTAGAAGTAAATTTAAAATATTTTGTCACAACTAAACGCTAAAAAAAGTGAGGTTGCGAAGTAGATGAGACTCAATTTTTAAAATAAACCAAGTTTTTTCATATAAATACTCCATTGCCTCCCAGTTCTTTTAAACCTTATATTTTTCAAATAACACAGTCACTAATTAAGTTATCATAAAAAAACAACATTTAACAAACATGCTAATGAATAATCTTTAGAATGTAGATCATGAAAAAACCACTCACAAAACAAAATTCTCGAACAGTCTTCGTCCCGAATTTAAAGCGTAAAAACTAGTTACATCAGCATGACTTATTTAGTTCCTTCATATTTTTACAAGTGTTGAAAAAAAAATTTGTGCCCGATGTATAGTGTTTACGCAGAAACAAACTAGGAAAATTTCTTTGCCTGCATTTGTAAAAAATATTAGCAACTGTTAATGGGCACCAACCCCATCCGTAGATTACTTTCAAGGCCTATATTTTTTCAGCTTAAAATGCTTAGGTATAAGCGAAACCGTAAAAAAAGCATTGGATCAGTCAGTAAAGGCTATCCCCATAGTCTCAAAATACCATTCAGCCTAAGGCGTATCGATGCTGGTTCCCAATAAGGCTCGGAAGAGATTCCATTTAAAAACAGGTTCAGTTTTACAAACATTTCAAAACGATCCTCCGATATGTCCACAAGAAAGCCATAGTTTTCCATGTTTTAAAAAAAGATTTGGAAAATGACAAGTCAGATTTGGCAGTAAGAAAAAAAATGTTTATTAATTAAACAGCGTTAAAAGAGAAGGAATTTGAGAGCATTTTAAAGCTGCATTCCTTCAGTTGAGTGTTATATGAGTGGGGACTCTAAAAATCAACGGAAACATTTGGACAACAGGTTAGAACTGTGGAAAGTAAACAATGCAGTAAAACTGCTTAATACAATTCTAAGTCGAAGATGGAATTGAAAATAACAATTAGCAACGTTAGAAAAGTGTAAAAAGAGTTATAAAAACTGTGACTCCAAAGCACTTTTTAGGTTATGCTCACTTCAGTCAACCACAATTTGCCAAAAGGCATCTTTCAAAATTACATAAGGTACAAATATTGCAATGGAATTTTGCCAGGAATGTCATTCCAAATTATTTTTCTTCCCCTGTGCAATCCGAGAGAAAGTATTTTTTCTCGGCTTTCCATTCGCCGTCTTTTCTCACAACTCTTAACACGAATGAGGCTGCTTTTTGGCAACGTTTCAAACAGCTGTTATTTAGTTTTTTATGGCTTTGAGGTTTTTGGTGGACAGAACTTTCGTGTTTATTTTAGTTGTTGTTTGAGGTTGTTATAGTGCTATCCCTCCAAGCTGTACAAGCTTTTTTCTCTTTCGCTTCTTTGTTCCTCAACCACTAGTGCGGATGGCGGGCAATTGATTTTAGGTGTTTTTGACTGATAGTTAGTTCCGAAGCATTTGGAAACTCTTATGCTGCACTTTTACCTCAAGTCAGGAACGGCGAGTAACTATGAGAGCGTGGGAAGATGTACTTTTAAATTCTTTTGCCGCAAGGCAGTCACTTAGTTCTTTTGTTCAAGAGGAGTCGCATTTTTCTGAAAAGTTTTTTTGAATGGTTTGTTTCTTAAAGTTGGTTAGTATTTCTCAGGGCAGTTTTTTGCCATAGTTGTTGCGTATCGGTTTTACTTTGAATGAAAACGCGTAGGGAAAATTGGGGGTTAGTAAATTCAGATATTAAATCGGGTGGAAGTGGAACTTTTGCGATGGTTAACAAAAGAAGAATTCTTTAATCAAACTATACTTTACTGTATGGACTTGAGGGGTTTTATGATGAAGGAAAATCTGTTTCATCAACTTGAGCGGTCAGGAACTCAACTAAACGTCTACAGACAAATGGGGTTTCAAGAATTTTTCTTACAACGAGAGGGACGGAAACTGTAAAGTGGATAATTGCTCGACATGCTATTCTGTAAAAGCAAGTGAGAGTGTGTTAGTGTAGGTACAACATATCATTTCCAAAGTTTGTGAAAAAGTGCAAAAGTTAACCTTTGTGTTTAGCTTACTGAGTTAGATTTATTGAAGAAGGAATTTTATTTTATTTATTTTTTTTAATGAAGAAACCATCTGATTTTGTCAGAGAACACTCTTGACATCTGGAGTGTAGCCAGCAGATTCATTTCTGGATAAAACTGCATTAAATGGCTTCGGCCACAAGATATCCGCCAAAAAGTGTTAATCAAAAATATGCTAGAAGTAG